GAAGGTGGCTACAATAAACAACAGATTTTCAATGCAGACGACACAGCCTTATATTGGAAGAATATGTCATCTAGGACTTTCATAGCTAGAGAGGAGAAATCAATGCCTGGCTTCAAAGCTTCAAAGGACAGGCTGGCTCTCTTGTTAGGGGCTAATGCAGCTGGTGACTTTAAGTTGAAGCCAAGGCTCATTTACCATTCTGAAAATCCTAGGGCCCTTAAGAATAATGCTAAATCTACTCTGTCTGTGCTCTATAAGTGGAACAACAAAGCCTAGATACAACACATGTTTACAACATGGTTGACTGAATATTTTAAGTCCACTGTTGAGACCTACTGCTTAGAAAAAAAGATTCCTTTCAAAATACTGCTGTTCACTGACAATGTACCTGGTCACCCAAGAGCTCTGATGGAGACGTACAAGGAGATTAATGTTGTTTTCATGCCTGCTAACACAACATCCATTCTGCAGCCCATGGATCAAGCAGTAATTTAAGACTTTCAAGTCGTCTTATTTAAGAAATACATTTTGTAAGGCTATAGCTACCACAGATAGTGATTCTTCCAATGGATCTGGGCAAAGTAAATTGAAAATTTTCTGGAAAGGATTCACCACTCTAAATACCATTAAGAACATTCGTGATTCATGGGAGGAGGTCAAAATATCAACATTAAGAGGAGTCTGGAAGAGTTTGATTCCAATTCTCATGGATTACTTAGAGGGGTTCAAGACTTCAGTGGAGGAAGTAACTGCAGATGTGGTAGAAAAAAACAAAAGAACTGTAAGTGGAGCCTGAAGATGTGACTGAATTGCTGCAATCTCATGATAAAATTTAATGGATGAGGAGTTGCTTCTTATGGATGAGCACGGAAAGTAGTTTCTTGAGATGGAATCTACTCCTGTTGAAGATGTTGCGAACATTGTTGAAATGACAACAAAGGATTTAGAATATTACATAAACTTAGGTGATAAAGCAGCAGCAAAGTTTGAGAGGACTGACTAATTTTGAAAGAAGTTCTACTGTGGGTAAAATGCTATCAAACAGCATTACATGCTACAGAAAAGTCTTTCATGAAAGGAAGAGCCAATCGATATGGCAATCTTCACTGCTGTCTTATTTTAAGAAATCGCCACAGCCACCCCAACCTTCAGCAACCACCACTCTGATCAGCCAGCAGCCATCGACATCTAGGCAAGACCATCCACCATCAAAAAGATTATGACTTGCTGAAGGCTCAGATGATGGTTAGCATTTTTTAGCAATAAAGAATTTTTTAAATTAAGGTATACACATTGTTTTTTTAGACATAATGCTATTGCACACTTAATAGACTATAGTGAGACTATAGTGTAAACATAACTTTTATACGGACACCAAAAAATTCATGTGACTTGCTTTATTGTGAGATTTGCTTTATTGTGGTGGTCTGGAAGCAAACCTGCAATATCTTCGAGGTATGCCTGTAGTCTGTTTCTCCAATTAGATTATAAACTCTATGATGGCAAGGATTTTGTATAATTTTTCACCATTATAGTTACCAAATACTTATTCTCTCCTTCTCCCTATTAATAACAGAACCTCCAATTTTTAGCTAAGTACCTTGATGTTCCAGTGTCCCTTGCATTTAGGTGTGGCCATGTTGCTAAGTTCTGGTCACTGACAGAAATAACGTGTACAACTTCTAGGTTGTGCCTTTAAAGGCAGAGGGTATACCCTCCTCAGACTCTTCCTTCCTCCATGTAGACTGGGAAGCAAACATGGGGGTAAGCCATCTGGAATCATATGGCAAGGGCAAGCAACAACTAGGGGATGGCAGAACAAGATGGGAAAAACTATACCTCTAATAACTTTATAGAGCAGAACCATCCCAAGAGCCTAGACTTCTACCTTGTTTAAGCCACTGTTTTTGTTGTTGGTGTTTTTTAATCTGGTATCTATTACATGCAGTCAAATCTTTATCCCAGTATAATCCCATCACCTAGAACAACACCTTGCAGTAGAAAGTACTTGACAAATATTTACTCAATGAACAAGTGAATTAACCAGTCTCTCATTTGGTAAGCATAAGCCAGTCCCCTTCAACAAGATCACTGCTAGCTACACTAAGAAAACCTAGTTTTTAAGTCTGTAAAAATGTGGCTCAGATCTACATCTAATATGGTGACTATGATGGTTAAGGTTGTGAGTCAACTTGGCTGGGCCACGATTCTCAGTGGTTTGACAGTCATATGACGGTGTGATCACTTCCATGATGAGATTTTATATTATGTAATCACCTCCATGATGGGATCTGCTGTGAGTAGCCAATCAGTTGAAAGGGAGTTTCCCTGGGCACGTGGCCTGCATTGAATATAAGTGGATATTCTGGCAAGGCTTGTGGGCTTTTGCTCATTCTGGATCCTGCGGCTGGCTCCTGTTCATCTGACCTCTGGTTCTTGGGACTTGAGGTAGCAGCTTACCTGGGGTCTTGCCTGACAAATCTTTGGAATTCATCGATCTTCACAGCCTGTGAGCAATAGCCCTGCTCTCCACTTACTGATCTTGAGTTCGTCAGCCCCTGTGGCTATATGCATCAGGAGAAGCCTCTGTCCTGACTCACAGACTCGGACATTCCAGCCTCTACAACCAAGCCATTTCCTTGACATAAAGCTCTCTCTCTCTATATATATATATATTTACATGCTTTACTGGTTTTGCTTCTCCAGAGAACCCAGCCTAAGACGGTGACCAAATCTCTGGGCCCTGCCTGAGCAGCCAGCAGCTGTCCTAATTTTTAATATTCATCTCTCTAAATTTAGTGACTTATTTTGCATATTTCCTTCCTAATTTTTATAAAATGAACGGATTTATCTTGAATCATAATGAAATGCCTACTTTTTCTGGGACTGTTTATGTCATTTAAAGACTTGCAGATGGTAAAGTTTATTATCAACATTCAAACAATACAGGTCATGGGAAAAAAAAATAGGTGATATAACTCAAGAAAATGAACAACATCAAAAACAATTCAAAACTTCCCTCAATAAACAAGCAACAGAGGAACTGCTTTTCATGAGTCCAAAGTAACTAAATTAAATTAATCTTCGAGTTACTGCATTAAGCCCTAGGGTGACTCAGAAGTCTAATGAAATTGGAAAACATGTCAGAACAAACTCAGATCCCTTTTGTCTTTCATTTTACTGCTATTCTCTCTTGATGGCTGTATTATCACCAGGACACTAGAAAGGATAGGCAGACATGATGCCTAGAACTGAAGTTGTCATGTTAAAACCATGAAGGAAAGATGAAGAAAACTAAGACAGCTAACCTGACATCTTTGAGCTGATAAATGAATATTACCGATTCCCTCAACTCCAGACTTATTACTTTCTTATTGTTGTAGTTAAATGAAGTTTACATTGCAAGTTAGTCTCTCATACAAAATTTTTATACATACATTGTTATGAGACCCTAACTGCTCACCCCATTCTGCAACAGCCAACTCCTCCTTTCCGCCCCTGAACTCCCCATGACCATTCAACCAGCTCCTAACCCTCTCTGCCTTCCCATCTCACCTCTGGACAGAAGCTGCCCCTTTGGTCTCTTGTATCTACTTGACTAAGAGGCACACTGTTCATGAGTATCACTTTATGTCCCACAGTCCAGTCCAATCCCTGTCCGAAGAGTCAACTCCAGACTTATTACATGAGAAAAAAGTAAACCCTTGTTTTATCAAATTACCATCACCTGGGTTTTCTGTTCCATGCAGCCCAACACTTTCAGGTTTTACAATGCAAACAACTGAAACTGAAGAACAAACTTGCACTTAAGTTTCTTATTCTAAATACTTCACTTAGATTAATATAAAAGTATGTCAGAGGGTAATTTTTTAAAACAATCAAATCATTCTCAAATATGTAGCTGGTATATATAGTTTTTACAGTTATTCTTTGGTCTAGTTTTTCCTAACAGATAAGACTTGCATGAAACTTAAGTGATTTATATTGATCGAAATGCTATCTGATTCAAAACAGCATTAGCATACTAGTCAATACCCAAAAACATTGAATACCTCAACAGAAAAATCTTTAAAATCCTAAGTAAACTCACTGATTTAACAAACATTATGTTCCTATTAAATACCAGAGACTGGGTCTAAAGATTATCAACATGAAAAGAAATATGTTCCTCCTATCCTCATTAAGCTTATAATCTAGCAGAAAATCAAAACAACCTGCTCTGGAAAGTTTTTCTTTGGCTATAGCTAAGATGGAGCCCTAGTGGTGCAGTGGTTAAGAGCTACAACTGCTAACCAAGACGTCGGCTATTCGAATCCACCAGCTGCTCTCTGGAAACCCCAGGGGGCAGTTCTACTCTGTCCTATAGGGTCACTATGAGTCGGAATAGACTCAAAGGCAACGGGTTTGGTTTTTTTTTGTTTTTATAGCTAAAAAAGAGGTAGAAGGTATTCTGAAACTAGAGACAATTCTTTTAAAACGCATTGTCGTTGTTATTAGGTGCCATCGAGTCGGTTCTGACTCACAGCAACCCTACAGGACAGAGCAGAACTGCCCCATAGTGTTTTCGAGGAGCGGCTGGTAGATTCGAACTGCCGACCTTTTGGTTAGTAGCCATAGCTCTTAACACTAGAATCCCCATAAAAATACGGGCAAAAGACATCTACAAACAAACAAGTCACAAATGGCTAACATACACACAAACCGTGTTCTCAGCAGTAATCAAAGATACATAAACATAAAAAAAAAAAGATTTTTTTAAAAAACTATCAAACTGGCAAAGATTTTAAAATGACACCACACAAGGCCAGTAAAAGGGTTTCATCCAACAATCAATGTCATATACTGCTGCAGAAATCAATTTTAGGTATATCATTTGGTAATACTTACTAAGATGCCAATTCCCTACATGCGGATCTTTTTTTTTTTGCTCTTAGAAAGAAAAACTACATTAAAAATACAGAAAGATTCATAGTTAAAGTTTAGAACTTTCCACAACTTACTGTTTCAAAGCTGCCTTTATGCATCAAGTCAATGGGTGGCCGGAACAGATCTGCAAGGGTAGTTAGTTTCTTATCTATTGCTCCTCCATTTCTTAATTCCTGCTCTTGCCGAACTGCAACACAGGAGGATGAGAACGGTTCAATCAGCCGTACAATAAAACAGTCATGGATCTCACAACAAAGAAACCTTGTATCAGTTGAAACAATTAGTGCAAAGATCTAAAGTTGACACAGAAAAAAAAAAATGTGGGAGTAATCCAATTAAAAAAATGAGCAAAGGAAATGAACAGACACTTCACCAAAGAAGACATTAAAGCGGCTAACAGACACATGAGGAAATGCTCCCAATCACTACCCATTAAAGAAATGCAAATCAAAACCACAATGAGATACCATCTCACCCAGCATTACTGGCACAAACCAAAAAAAACAGGAAATAACAAACGTTGGCAAGGCTGCTGGGAGATAGGAACTCTTATGCTGGTGGGAATGCAAAATGATAAAACCATTTTGGAAAACGATATGGCGCTTCCTTAGAAAGCTAGAAATAGAAATACCATATGATCCAGCAATCCCACTCCTAGGAAGATATCCTAGAGAAATAATAGCCATCGCACGAATAGACATACGCACACCCATGTTCACTACAGCATTGTTCACAATAGCAAAAAGACAGAAACAACCTAGGTGCCCATCAACAGATGAATGGATAAACAAACTATGGTACACACACACAATAGAGTATTTACGCAATGATAAAGAACAACGATGAATCTGCAAAGCCTCTCATAACATGGATGAATCTGGAGGGCATTGTGCTGAGTGAAATAAGTCAATCACGAAAGGTCAAATACTGTATGAGACCAGTACTGTAAAAACTCATGAAAAGGTTTACACACAAAAAGAAACAATCTTTGATTTTTAGGATGTAGGGGAGAGACGGGGGGGGGCGGGGGACACTAAATAGACAACAGATAAGTGGTAACTTTGGTGAAGGGTAAGACAGTACACAATACTAGGAAAGCCTGCACAACTTAAATAAGGCAAGGTCATGGAAGCTCCACAGACACATCCAAACTCCCTGAGGGACCAAACTGTTGGGCGGAGGACTGTGGGGACCATAGTCTCAGGGAATACCTAGCTCAACTGGCAGAACATTGTTACAAAGAAAATGTTCTACATTCTACCTTGGTGAGTAGTGTCTGGGGTCTTAAAAGCTTGTGAGCGCTTGTACAAGGAAAGGTCATGGAAGCTCCACAGACACATCCAAACTCCCTGAGGGACTGAATTGCTGGGCGGAGGGCTGTGGGGACCATGGTCTCGTGGAACATCTAGCTCAACTG